TATATATATATATATATATATATATATAGATATCAGTATAATGTTATTTGCAATATTATTTTCAATTCAATTCACTTATGTTTATTATTTGTTTCTCCAGCAACGCAACATTATTATAAATTTATCTTGCAAGTAAATATGAAATCAACATCTTTTTAGAAAAAGAAATTTAAAATGTGTGCATCAACTTAGTTTAAATGGGCAAAAGAGAAGGCAATATGTACTGATTGAAATATTTTCTCTCGCACTTAAAGGCCTCATGCTAGAGGTTTACCGACCTCAAACAAAAAAAAAAAACTACTTAAAAGATAAAAAAATCTAAAAGTTGATGCTAAATTTATGAAATTTATTCCCCGCAAGGAAGTTTTATGGCTTATAAATGTAGTGATCAGTTCATTCACTTACAGCTAGTAGCTAGGGTGCAGATATCATTTGTTGATGACATACGGCTATCACACAACTTTGGTTGATTGATCGTAGTTGAGTTATGGTGATTGGATGATAGTGGTTGTTAGTAAACAGATAACAACACTCTAGTGTTGGTGTTGCGATGATGACGATCAAATGATGGCAATTGAGCAATGGTAGTCGGACAATAACAATTTTTGGTGATCGTTGATATCGAGCGGAGCTTTAGAGGGGTGCACTTGGCCCTCCTTCCCACCACTCTCTATTTCAAAAAATAATTCAACTTCTGATTTTACGATATTAGTTGGTTGAAAGTCTTTTTTTTATAATAAATTTGTGCCCCGCTAGAAAAAAAAATTTGATTCCATCTCCATGAATTTATATTCATTTGGGTTCGTATTTTATCACAATTGATATTGTTGGATAGATTTCTTCAAAACGTTCAACTTGACTATAACTTTATTGAAACCAAAGATTAGATAATCTTGTAATTGACTGTTTTAGGTTTACTTTATCTTGCTCATGTATAACAAACATATTTTATACAATAGGCACTTAAAAAGGAAAATATTTGTTAGTTAAATTAAATAAAAACATTGGAGATAAAATGAATCATAATCCCTCTCATAACTCACCACATGCATTCACATAATTTATATTCATTCTCTTCATGTGCATTATGATTTATGTGCCCATATGAAGGGCATTTGGCCTATAAGAGTAAAGAGCAATCTTTGGGGATAACTATATCACATTTTGTAAGCCATGAATTATATTTTAAAGCATTTCATAGTAGAATTTCATGTGATTGAAAATAAATGATGAAATAAAAGATAATGAATTGGATAGAAGCATTATATAGCACTCATGGTTTGGAAAGGTTGACTTTGATAGTTGAGCTATAAGCCACATAATACTCTTAATTAAATAAAAAAATAAATCATCTTACATTATACATGGCTTGAATTTCATGGTTTTAGGACACTTAGGTGAGTTTAACTACTATCCTTTTATACAGGATCATAAGACCAATAGAGTCAGACATATTTCATTTTCTCAAGTATTAAATATTTAAGTCAATTTCAAAATGGTAGAACAAAATTTAAGTTACTTTGTAGTTATTTTCTCCTTAGTTTTGGAAAAGAAGTTGGTTATTTTTCTTTTGTTATGTGTAAATTCTCATTTCTTAGGCTTTTTCTTAATGTGATATCATATGATTATAAATCTTAAATTTTTAATAAAATATATAACTCAAAAGAAAAATTAAAATTTCTATTTTAAAAATATAAAACCCAATCATACTATTTTTTAAGTGATATTGAGTTTTTCAGTATTCAACATTTTTTATTCTTCCTTCGTTTGAATTTAAAAAAGATTTATTACCATTTGTGCCATCCTAATTGAATTATAAATAAAAATTCTTAAAATCATAAATTTTAAATTCTATAGCTATATAAACCAAAGTCTTTATTAAGAGCCATTTTAAGATATAACATCATTTTAATAAGTAATTAACTTTAATAGTTTGACTTGCTAGGGAGTACATATCACCAAATAAAATAAATCACATTTTACCTAAATTAAATATTAAAATGATCCAAAGTAAGAATATAATTTTTCTTTTTAGAACTAGCCTTAAAATAGCTCTAGACCAATCACACCTCATTGATGGAAGCATGTTTAAGTTTAGAATAAGATTTTAAAAAAATAAAATAACTTTGAATGCCCTGATCTTCACTACTATGGATCATAAGGTAACAAAAACCCATCCTAAAGTTCAATATTGAATATGAAATTGACATAATAATGCTAAAAAAGGAAGCCAAGGGAGGTTCTAATATCCTCTAGCATGGCCAAATCACAAGATAAAAACTCAACAAATTAATGATTATAGAGACTAAGTAACCTATATTTCTCACCATTTTTGAAGTTGGCTCGACCTTTAAGGCTTCACCATCAACAAAAACCCAATACAAAAATAGTCACAACAAAAGAATTAAAAACAAAGGCACATCATGTTAAGTAAAGAAAAATAAATCAAAGTAGATTAATGAGGCCACCAATGGTAAGACTCACACACCCTCTCCTCGTCTTAATGGAGATCGAAGAAAGCCATGAGAGGTTGATAAACAAGCTGGCTGGCATTGGAGGCCATGATGAAATCCATATGTGCATAATCATCCAGCAACTGAGTCATCAAATCGTTCCTGTTATGAACATTTATGAGCCCCAACAGATGCGCTACATCATTAACATCTGCAAGCACATCTACTTTACCGTAGCTCATAAACAACGGAAAATCATTGGGAATGCGTGAGAGATTGTACGCAGGTGGCGTCGGCTGGCCGTAGTGCGCCTTGTTGTCGTCTTCGCTATCGTAGTCGTATTTTGTTAGCGTAGCCCTTCTCATCGCTGTTCATGTTCATTAAGAGTACTATGTGAGAGCATGGATTTCAACTTATAGAAAATGCATATATTAATTAGGGGTCTGTTTGAGACAACTGCAATTGTTTGAAGAAACAATCACGAAACTGCTACAAAAGAAACTGATATTTAAAAAACTACGATGATTATTACCAAAAAAATTAAAAAATAAAAAAATCAAACCACAGTTTTTTAGTAGTCATCGCACATAACCACGTTCGATTGCAAAACACAGCTTTAGCTACTGCTTTTTGAAAACAAAAAAAAACAAACAAAACACAATTCTACCAAACAGAAAAAAACACATTTATTGCATGATTCGAGATACGAATGAGACTTTGACTGAGCATAATGTGGTGCCAATGATTTAAATAACTAATCTTATCCCTGATAATGAATGTATTTATAATTAATTGTTCATAGCGGCATTTGCATTACACAGATAACACACAATTCTCATTAATTTACGTATCTCACACCAAAACTTTGATATTTACACACATAACACTCTATTTTTCAGCATCACATCAAATATAACACTAATTGCCATTTTGCTATTGCTAAATCTAACTTTTCATGCATAGGTAACTTAATGCTAGCTATGACTATAAATATGAAAGTCTAAGTGCTAGATATGTAAATTCATAAGAATTGAGTGCTACGTATGTAAATTTCTCTTCTTGAAATTTATATATATATATATATATATATATATAATCTTCCTTACAATAGTCAATAAACTTACTCTGAGATAAGTGAATCATGTTCTTAGTTGAAGTTGACTGCAGCGCATGGTCCAAAAATAGCTGAACAGATGATGCGTTAAGGCAGCAATTATCCCCTATTTTCCAATAAAATCACATTTAAAATCACATCTAATATATCAAAATAACAAAATAAAAAAATAAAAAAATAATTTACCTGTGAATATTGACAGTAAATCATAGCAGTCCATCCCTGAAAGATAACAGACAGTCTTCAACAGCATTTTTGTTGCTGATCTGCAGTTAAAATCACATCTAATTAGCTATGATTAAGCCTTAATCAGGACAAATGCAATGTAATTATAGGTTTCATTTCAGGATTAATGATATAAAATTATAATTAGTACCTTAAAATAAGGGAATAATTAAATTCTAATGTGAGAACAGAAGGATGAATGAGATTCAGTTTATTGTTACCCTGTTGGATTCAGTTGAGCAATGCCCAGCCAGTAGATTTGCTGCAGAGAAGCAGAAATTTGTCAGTTAATAAGTCATTAATGACCAGCATTTACTTAATTACAAATTTAAATAAAAAGTTTTAATGGAGATTGATGCTCCATTTGGGGTAGCTTATCCACTACAGCGGTGTTTTGAAAATGTCGTCTTACTGTTTGGAAATTGCGTTTGAGCAGCTTATCCGAAAACACAGTTGCGAAACGCGATTTGAACCCGCGGTCTGTGTTTCCAAATAAATAATTTATCTGGATAAGCATGAGCTATTCCAAATACACCCTAAGTCATTTAATAAAATGATTATATATATATAGTGCTTACTTCTCCAAGATAGATTCTGGCAGCAGTGTGCATATACATTGATGGAATTTGGTTCAGATATGCAATGGGACAGAGCAAGGCTGCAGATCTCAGACTGCTTGTCAGATTTTGCTCACTCAGTGATGTAAGGACAGTTAATGTTCCCTGAAAACAAATTAAACCATGATTAATACTGAATTTGATTAATTAATTATGATTATATTAACAGGTTAATTACTAATTGTTAATTATTTTTGTTGGGTTACCTGAGAATGGCCCACATAGTGGACTTTCTGCTGTCCTGAGTGCTGGTAAACATAGTCAACTGTAGCAGGAAGATCATAGGCCGCAAGTTCATCCCATGACCAATCCCAATAAGCCTATATAAACAATTTTTAAATTAATTCAAGGGTAGTTTTGTAATAATGTTGAAAAGGAAGATTTACATATGTACCAACCAAGTTTAATTATATATGCTACTTTATTTATACACCAAAATGTCTATTTCACTTTTTAGATGTTGTGGTATTTTTAATGTGAAGTGAATGAGTTGGATGGTATAATGTTTAAAAAGGCATGTTTAGGTGAAAGATATGTAAATACTAGAGAAATGGGGGATGTATGTGTAAACTCTTCATGATATAACATCATCTTCAGTTGATATATTTTTAATCACTTTCATAATTAAAAATTTAAAAGTATAATTAAGCGTCTATTTGGGTGAGTTGCAACTTATTAAAAAATAACTGTGAAGCTGCTGAATAATAATCTGATGCTCAAAAAATTATGTTGGCTATTATAAATTTATTTTTTTTTAAGTCAGACCGCAGTTATAAAGCTGCTAGCTCACCTAGCTAGTGGTAGTGGCAAAAGACAGATTTCAGTGGTAGCCTTTTGAAAAAACTGTCAAAATGAAGTTTATCCCAATTGACAAAACTAAGATGTGGTGTCACATCGCCGCCCAAACAGACCCTAAAATGTACATTCAAATTAAGGGGTTCTAGAAGCCATATCATTTATGATATAAATTATCATAACATAAATTAAGTTTTTCGTCTATTCTGAATATAATCTAATTCTACCTTTATTAAGAAGTATGACAATTGACGAGTTGACTAAAAATTATTTTATATATATATATATATATATATTGTTAATCATATCATCAATAATGACATTTTTATAATTAACCAAAAAGTATTTTAATAATCATAATATAAACTAATTTCATAATGCAAAAAAATGAACCGGTTCAAAATGAGTTTAATTAATTTAATATTAATTTTAAAAAAAGGAAAAATAATATAGAGAGAGAAAAGAACAAACCGAATCGCTTGAAGAGAGAGAAGTGTGTCCGAGGCTGTAAACCGTTCCTCTGCCGTTAGCGATCCACACATCGTAGCCGTTGTCTGCGAGAATATAACCTAACGACTCATTCGGTGAGTTTACCAGCCATGCGAACCCATCCTGTAATTATAGCAAATGTCGGGGGCCAAATTGAACACATATGTTTTATTAGAAAGTTCCAATTTTTTAGGGAGAATTGGGAAAATTTTTAACATATAACGAGTAATTGTCATTAAAAGCTTTATCATTTTAGAAAAAAAATTTAATTTTAGAAGTATGTCTAATTAATGTGCTTTTTTCTTACATATTTTTATTTATAAAAAAAAGTAGATATGTTTTTGAAAGCCACTTTATTTTATTTTAGTTTATCATATATATATATATA